AAAATAAATAAAAACAAATTTTCTTTTTTTTTAATTGCACGAAAGTTTATTTGTTAAAGCTGTTCCGGCTTGGACACGCATTTGCATGTAAAAATTTACGTCGTTTAGGTACAATTGCCATTTAACTAACAAACGAATTGAATTTTAAGAAAAAATTTGCGACAATATTTCGTACTGCGAAATAAACAAATAAAAATTGCGTACACTGAGTGATTGTTTCAATAATTCTGCACCGTTATAATGGGTAATAATTGCGGTAAATATGAGCTACTACTATAATAATTTGACGCATTGGAAGACTCTTTCTACTTTCCTCCCCAGGAATGGATGATGAGGACGTTGAAAATCCGTTTAGGGATCAACCAACTCGCAAAGCATTTGTTGCAAAAGTTTACCTTACGTTATTTGTGCAGCTGCTAGTAACTGCAGCAATAGTTGCCGTATTCGTTTACGTAGATGAGGTTGCATTTTTTGTTAAAGAGAATTATTATCTGATTTGGATCGCTCTCGGACTTACAATTGTTTTGATGGTCATGTTGATATGTTGTGAATCACTACGTCGAACGCCTCCTACAAATTACATTTGCCTACTTTTGTTCACAATGTGCGAGAGTTTCTTGGTCGGCGTTACCGCCAGTAAATACGCACCCGATGAAGTCCTAATATCATTGGGCATTACCGGCGCTGTTGTCTTGGGATTAACATTGCTTGCACTGCAAAAGTGTATCGATTTCACTCCACTATATTGTATTATGATCATAATCACTACAGTTTTTGCCTTGTTCACAATTATAGGAATATTTTTTTTCTACAATCGGATTCTGCATGTCGTATATGCGGCAATCGGCGTCACACTGTTCTCCATGTGGTTAGTTATTGACACACAAATGATAATGGGCGGCCGTAGACTTGCCATTAATACTGACGAGTATATATATGCTGCTCTGCAACTATATATAGATATTGTAATGGTATTTCAATATATATTAACTTTATTTTCAGAAAATTAATAATTATGACAAAATTCTGAAAGATACAAATTTCTGCTAAACGCATCTTATCATCAAGGTTTTCTTTTTCCTTTCAGTTTTTTAGAAATATTCGACATTGTTCAGGAAATATATTAAACAACAATCTACTCATCATGCGTGGCTCTATACAATATTTGAGTAGAGAAATGTTTGATTTTCGCATGAACTCACTCCAATATGAATATTTTCGTTGTCCTAAACGAAAAATTTTCCGCAGCGTGATCATTCTCAGTCTCGGAATCTCCTATACGATTACTACTATCTTACACGAAACGTTTCTTTACTTTACTTGCATCAAATGATTTGAATTTGAAAGCAATAGCAGGCTGCAAAAAAACAATATGCGCGAAAAAATAGGTTTCATAGTGTATTGTAAAAGCTACAACTCTTCTTGACCTTGGCGACAGCGTTGGGTGGGTCAGTGCGACATAATTAAAATTGAAACACTTTAGGCAAAAAAAAAAAATTAACGAAGATATACGTTGTAATGAACAAGAATAATTTATTTCTCAATTGATTAGAGGATATGAAGTAGGCAAATGATCCCTGAAGAATTCATTGCACACGCATATATACACACACACACACACACACACATACTTCATATATTAATTAAAATATTTTGATGTTCTCAATGTTCCTAAGTACAGAGAATATTCAGTGTAGTATATGTATATTTTGATTATTATTTTTTTTTTTTTTTTCATTTTATATTTTTAGAAGATCTTACAACTCAATATAGTATATGCAATAATCAAGTAATATTTATTATTATATAAGGTTAGCCTAAAAAGGCAAAATTGAAAGACAAGTTGAGAAAAACAAATGAGAAACGAGAAAAAATTTCTATGAAAATAAACAAAGCACACAGAATGTGTATATTGAACAATATGATAAAACGAATGTTGCCAAATGTTGGCGATACCTGCCATCTGATAAAAAGGACGTACAACAATCTCAAGTCATGCCGCATAAAGATTTACTAACATGGAACAAGGAGGTTCTGCAATTTTGCATTTATAAAATCGATATATTCGGAGATTGTTTGCACATCATTAAATATGTGAAGGCTTGTAGTTGGGATGTGAATTGGTGAAAATTTATTTTGTTCGGCCATCAACAACGTCAACGTCTAATGTTATTAGCAAAACAGCTTTTAATCAACAGTTTGCCGGCTTTCTAACATCATTGCATATTGTTGATAGCCGATCACAATAAGCCCGCACACCTTGTTCCGGGATTGTAGCATACTTCAAAGCGGTATTTCAGAGACCGTTCGTGCGTAATAAGAAATTTCTTCTCACATTCAAGGAGACTGGTAAAAAGTGTAAAGTCTCGCTAGAGAAGCGCTTTTCCTCCGTCCTCACAATTATATGCTTGGGGATCACCATAATATCTTTGCGTTAAAAATGCAACGGCTATATAGTGAGAGCATAATCCCTGTTTGATGCAGATTAGAACTTCCTATCTAACTCTTGCACCACTTTGGGCATTGGGTGTAATTGGGTGCATTTTAAATGAAATGAACAAATTTTGGCTCTGCTTACCGCAGATGAAACTATGAATATTATTTTGGCATTTGCTTACTATAGAAAACAATTTCATGTGCATTCACTATTTACGATAAATTTCGAATCGCTTGCAGAGTTCGTAAAATATTAATAGCAAGAAACATTTTTTGGTAGCTATAACAGCAAAAAACAATTAGTTATATATATAGTTGTTATGACAGGTTAGCGAACTTCGCTTTTAAATGTTCGATTATCTGGTCAGCCTTGATGGATTCTAATAAATAAATTTGACATGCTATGGATACGCTTACTTGACGCTTACTTACTTATTATCCACCTTCTCTTTCTATCTTTATCTCTATCGCTCGCTCTCTCTTCTCCAAGTTGCTATATAACTTATTCGTAATATGTCAATAAGTCAAACGCACAATAATAACACAACATTTTTTCGCATTACATCGGAACATTGTTCTTTGAAAATACTACTGGATTGTGCATTATTATTCTAAAATGGTAAGTAAAGAAACAAGAACAAAAGAACTGGCGCCGTTACTGTTTCGAAGAGACCGAGAACACGTTAGCAAACGTTTTTAGTTAGATTTACTCAATATTTCAGAGAACGTACGATTGCTTTGCAATGCAAACGAAATATCCATTAATCTGTGACACGGACAAGGGTCCGATTTAATAAAACTTATTAGATTAGATGTCATAGCGAAGGCATTAGCAGTGCGGCTCTTTCACTCAGTTTCTCATGACGAGAATAAAGAATAAAAGTTAACCAATTCTCGTCAAAGCTCTTTTAAGCCTTTCTCTTGCAGCATCTTCTTCTTCGTCTTCTTCTAATTTTTTATCGACTGTCGCCCTTATTATAGACACTATATGTAAATACGTATACATATATATATATATATATACATATATATTCGGTAATGGTACGTTTTTCAAATACTTTATTATGAACAAGTTTTTAGATAAAGAAAAAATATTTATTAATATAAGGATGAAAAGAGAGTCATATATAATTAATGCCTCGAAGATGCCATCATGGATAATATATAGAGAAATAAATTAATAACATCGAGATATAGATTTAAGGCCGCAAACACATACTCCTCAGGATTCAATGAATACTTGTGTTTACCGCCCATCATTAGTTGCGTATCGTATACTAAATAAATGCTGAATAGTAAAGCGCCAAGGCAACTGTAAACCATAATCATTACGCGACCCGGGAATATTATGACCACAATGCCGAATATCAATAGGGCCAATACACAGACTAACAATATACCACCCATTACGGTATAGTCTACTTTCGTTTGTACGGCATACAAGCTAAGGGCCAAACATAAAATTGCCGTAATTGTTACAGCGATGAAGATTTCGTCCGGTGCGAATTGACTGGCAATAATGCCCAACATAAACGATTCGGCTAAAGTAAAAATACCCAAGAATACGAAATTTATCGGTGTTTTACGACGTGCATCGTCGAAGCATAACATTATTAGCATAGTGATAAATAAAATAATGAACGCGAGCCAAAATAGAGCAGGATTATCGTAAACAAATCCGCTCACGTCATCATTAAAAACGAACAGAGATAGAAATGCCAAAGTCACACAAAGTTGAGCCATTAAGATCATATAAACTTTTCGAACAAATTTTTGCCGTACCGTTTGCTCGTCAAAAAGCAAATTCTGCAATTGACTTTCAGGATGATCTATAACCTCGACAGCTGTCAAAAATAATTAAAAACAAAAAAAAAAAGAAAACATAGGCAATAATTTACAAACATCATTGGATTTTTATATAAATATATATATATTTTTTTTACGTTGTGTATAACGTTTAACATTCCCTTTAGGTGGATCCAATGGCCAGGAGCTTCTTTTATCCATTTCTGAATTTTAATAAGATTATAAAAAATTAAATGTTCTCTCAAAAATTATTTCCTTTGCAATAAAAAAGCTTTTTATGCTCAACTGTCAAAGTAATAATTTTAGAAAAGCCATGTCACCATCTAAACGTCAAGCCAACGTCACACATATGCTCTTTCAGTTTTTGTTTTTATTTTTTTGAAAGCAACATTTTTATATATATTCTTTAGTGGGGTTATCTCTATTACTATTAGTACCGGAACACAAAATCCACTATGACTTTAATAAGCATTGATTGTAATTATGATTAATTTTTGTCTTTTACTGTATAGTTGGACACTGTTCTATACGTAAGCATAATTGCCTTGTTTTCTAGCATATTGCTCCCGTGTAAGGTGTTGTAAAAGTGCGTAACAAAATGAATCACGAGAAGGATGTGGAAAACTTGTAGTCTCCAAAAGACGATGCATTCTGTCATTCTAATAAGCAAATAAGTTTGCTGTCGGCGGACAAGGCCGAGCATTCGATATCCTAAATCACTTCGGTTAATCAATAATACATCAAAACGCATTATTATTGTTATACATTTTATATAAATGCATAATTTTCATGAAAACCCCTTATAATGATGGATACTCACGGGTCAATGTCGTCTAATTTTCACAAAGTTATTTTACTTGTGCAAAAACTGTGTTGTTGTTTGCCAGTTGTTTCCGTCATAACGAACCACAAATTAACCTTTGCCGCCATACAAGGATTTGCTTGCATAAGGATTTGCCTATATATGGTGCGACCTAAAAAGAAGAGATCTGTGCGATCCAGATTCGTTACGATTGAATTACTGAGGACGAATTTTCATCGTAAATAATATAAAATTAGACCTTAGCCTTATTTCTTTTCTTTCTATCTTTATGTGGATCGGGATCCAAAATGCAGTTTTATGCCATCCAAATTCGGTTAAAGTTAACTTTTATGCAAAACTATTACTATTAACCAATTTTCATAAAGAGATATTGAAAGTTAGCCCTTTTCATAATATATGGATTCACAATCTGAAAGGCAAAAGGTTCACAATTTGCCCCGTTCGTTCCAAAGTTTTCACACCTATTAAAATGTTCATATGCTATAATTAAGCGATTTTTGCCTCGAACACCTAAGAATTATTATAATTTGTTGTTATAGCAGCGTTATGTGCCGACGGACTCTAAAACGTGAATTATTGGTTTTTTTTTTTTTTTTTTAAATAACTTGATTCTTTCCACTTAGTTTCATTTTAAGATACCGAATAGGACATGTTCTCATCGTGCAAAAATTTATCTCTCATTATGTTCCTTATATGGGAAAGGGTCAAGAAATAGGCCTACGTGGCCTGGGCTTAGCATAGGCGACTTAAATATGAAATCGCCTGCTTTTTGACCCATTTTCAATATAAAAAAAAAAAAAAAAATGATTTATTTTTTGTAAGAATGAAAATGGCGAACCATCATCACAATTACACAAGAAAAATATTCGTTTATTTTAATTTTTATCAAGGAATATTAGAGAACCAAGTTTCATTTATTTAACGACTATTTCAAAAAAAGGTCTAATGTGGGCAATGATCCGAAAATGCACCGACATCAGTCCACTTGGGATCGTATTTGTTCTTGAGCTGAAGTGTGTTACTGAATCAAAGTTCATCAAACTATTTTAACCCTTTGCACCCAATGATGCATTTTTTGGTAAGGGTATTCACCTACCCGTAACACATCAAACATAAGAATTTTAAACAAAAGTATTTTATTTACATACTACAAACATAACAATTTTTTTCTTCTTTCACCAAATACTTTATCACTCTCTTCACTGCTACTGTCTTCTTTATGTTCATTTAGAATGTTATCCTTCGATCTAAACACCAACTCAAACGCATCTTTGCTGCTATAAATTTCGTTTATTGATTTCATTTTCATGACCTTAAGTCATAAGAAAGTAATTTTAATTATCAATGGCTTCGTTTAACAGAATAGCAAAAAATTTTGCGAAGATTTTGCCAGAAACGCTATAGTGTTCAGACTGAATGATCTAAGTGTCCATCGGACTAATCTCGCACCAATTAAAAAAATTTACAACATTATCAGAAATAGTAATGGCACCTCTAGGGCGCCGTTCGAGTTGCAGTAATGAATAGGATGACGCTTGTCGGGCGCCGTTCAGGTGCAAAGTTGCGAACTGCAGCTTGAACGTTCAAATTAGTTGCACAAACGTTAGATTGCAGTCTGGCAGAGGGGTCGGTTCAACAAATGAATTTGAATTATAGCCTGCTATGCATAGCCCTAACCGAACACAGAGTATAAAATGTCACTTAGCTAATTCGAAACGACAAGCAATATGAGTACGAATGAAATAAACGAACACATGACTTCTAGTATATTATGAAAGCAATGACGTCACAAGTACCCCGATTATAATTTCATTGAGGAAATCGAACACAAACAGATTGGATTTACTAAGTCGTAGAATAAATCTCACTTAGAATAACTAAGTATTTTCGCAAGACATTTATCCTGTATTACGATGAGGAGACAAATATCGATTATTAGATCACTTTAAGTATTGCTTAATATTTCATGCCTGCGTGAAGGTATAGCGTTATCGTCTTCATTTATTATTTCGTGGAAAGAATGCATTTAGCTTATGCTTAGCATTTGTATAGATATTGTTGTAAAACCATTCATTTATCCACATTTTTCATCATTTCAAATCCGACGCCAAATTGCCAATAGCGTAATATACAAAATTCTTTAATAGAAAAAGTTGAATATCGTATATTGTTGTTCTTTAAACTTGAAAAATAAGAGAAATCAAAGATGAAAAATTTCCATTTTCTCGAAAAATTGCATTTGTTTTTATTTGTGGCCATATATTTGCATTTTTTTCATCTAAAGGCTCTCGCACATATTTACCAAATAAAAAATAAAAGAAAGTAAGAAAATTATATCGGGTCGTGATCGAATCTTTTATACCCATCACTGTTGGTCAAAAAAGAATTGAATTTTCATACTACATATAAGAAAACATATAATCGCGGCTGATTTTTTTCTATTTTCAAAATAAATGTAGAAATGTATGTGTGTTGCACTTTCTGAGTAACAAGCAGAAAACACGAAAAGCAAAAGTATTCTCAGTATTTGTTACAAAGGCGTGCGGGCATTGTAGGTGTGTCCCTTAATCGTTTCAGGTCATTTTTAAATTCTTTCGCAAATCTATAGACGACATCTAGAATTTTGCGAATGAGACAACGTTTACCATTGATACAACATAGTTACGCAGTGGGACAGACGAACAGCCGAATAGAAGGACATGCTTAAACTGGTTTAGGAATTCATATGCTTTATGAGCTTTTGAAACTTGCTTGTGCGCGCTATAAAAGTATTGAAAAAGATAATTCAATTTTGATACGCCCATAATATACGCTGGCGTAGTTAATTTTTGCCATTTTTGTATAAGTACCACAGTATCACTCGTTCAAATTTTTATGCTCTTAGTTTACGAGTAAAAAGACTAGCCCTTCCAACAACAACTTGGGTGCAAGAATTTGAATTTGAAATCGATATCTTCATATTTGCGGGTAGAAGAAAGCTTACAAGAGAAATAATGTATAGGCGGACAGAAGGACAGAAAGACAGACGGACAGATGGAGATGCTTAAATCAATTCATAATTTGATGCTGATCAAGCAGATATGTACTTTGTGGGTTCTTTGCAGTTGCGTACTGGGCATTGCAGACCGTTTTAACAAAATGAATATATCCCTCATCCTTCGGTGATAGGTATAAAAAAACAAAAAACAAAAAAGAAACACATTTGCACAAACACCTGCCAACTAACTAGGTATGCGGCGCGGAGATACGTACGGATTCTATATATGGTTTTATGTTTCTATGATTGTCAAAGTTTTTCGCATGAATGCAAAATATTGGCGTTATATTGTATTGGAAGCAACAGAGAGTAAGCAAAAGCGACATGAAGAATAGAAGCAGCGATATCGAAAGAAAAAACACCGAACAACAAATCATTTAACCAAAAATAAGCAATTGCATGAAATTCACAAATAACCGCACGTACAGACAAGCCCGTATATAATATATATATATATATATATATATATATAAAATAAAATGTGTATCATGTGAAAGCGTTATCTATGCTGAGATCGAATTGGAACGAATTTTCAAAAACCGCTACATGATTTAATATTCAATGGAGAACTTAATGCCCGGCTATCGAGATGCACTATTCTTCAATGTAATATTTTCATTATAATGAACAAAGAAAAAAGATGTTACGTAGTCGGTAAGTAATCATCGATTGAAAACTTGTTCCTAAATCCTTTCAGTTTCGATTATGTAAAACTAGATTCAATTATTTTGTATTCATAACGCATATTATAATCTCGGCTTTGTTTAATATTATTTCAAATCACTTACACAACAGAACCTTGATTTTAGGAGCCGTGTCGTGGCAACCTGCACATATCTGCTGAAAAGATAATAGGCATCATCGACATTTACAGCGTGAAAGGTAAGACTGAAGAACGACAGTCAATTTCATATCATTGAATATATTTGAAAGTCTTCTTCTTCTTCTTCTTCTTCTTCTTCGCACTTTTTAAATATCATCGCATTGGCAGCTCAAAATGATGCGAAATTTAAGGTAACACCTCTTATCGAATAGAACTTGTACAAGGAATGAATATAATGCAGAGTAATAGCTAATGCATTGATCGCTAAATATTCCGCGAACTAACTCGGACCGTCTCTTCATATGGAAATTTGAAAGGGATTTAGCGCTAAGTGCTTGATTGATCACTCAATACTTTAAATATTCTACGGTTGCAGCTTTCGGCTTTTCGCTGTTAATGATGCCAATGAATGCTACAAACTTTGCTTATTATCTTCGTCAAAGTGTACATATGTTGATGAATTATCTCCATATAACGAAATTTTCGAATTGCTCTAAGATAATCATTGTGGTAATCTT